TAGCTGAATGCTCGACATTTTGTCAAGTAGGATCCTATGGGAAAACTCTGTCAAAAGCTTTGCTGAAATCAGGCTTGCTAAAGAGCAAAGGCAGGACCCTGAATTTCCAAAGAGTGAACTTCAAGCTATTTAAAGACCTAGTAGCTGAGATCCCCTAGAACACCATCCTTAGGGACAAAGGAGCAGAGCAGAGCTGGAAACTCTTTAAGGATGTTTTCCTTAGAGTGCAAGAACATCTCCATCTCCCTGCGTAAAAAAGCGGGCAGGGAGGGCAGAGAAAGCGGGATGGCTGAGCAAGGACCTGCTGGTCAAACTGAGGCACAAGAAGGAAATGCACAGGCAGTGGAAGCAGGAACACGTGGCCTGGGAACAGTAGAGAGAGGCAGTCCAGATGTGCAGGGATGGGATAAGGAAAGCCAAGGCATGGACAACACTGAGCTTGGCAATGGATGCAAAGAACAACAGTAAGGGATGGGTAATAACAGTAAAGGCACGTTGCTCAGGAAAAAAAAAAAAAAAAAAAAAAGTCCAAGGAGCATGTACCCCCTCTGATGGGATGAGAAGGGTGAACTGGTAATGACAGACATGGAAAAGGCTAAGGTACTCAACAACTTATTTGCCTCAGTCTTCACTGATAGTCAGGCTTCCCAAGTCTTTCATTTCCCTGAACCTGTAGATGGAGACTGGGGGAGCAAAGTCCCACTCTCTGTAAGTGAAGTGCAGGTTCGAGACCACCTGATGAAACTAAACATACACAAGTCTATGGGGCTTGATGACATACATCCAAGGGTCCTGAAGGAATTATCTCTCCATCAGATTTGAAAAGTCCTGGCAGTCATGCAAAGTCCTTGGTGACTGGAAAAAGGGCAACATCACTCCCCTTTTTAAAAGGGTAGAAAGGAGGACCCGGGGAACCACAGACAAGTAAGCCTCACCTCTGTGCCTGGCAAGATCACGGAAAAGATCCTCTTGGATGCAATGTTGAGGCACATGCAAGACAAAGAGGTGATCCGAGACAACCAACATGGCTTCCCAAGGGTAAATCATGCCTGACCAATCTGGTGGCTTTCTATGATGGATTGACTGCATCAGTTGACAAAGGAAAACCAATCGATGTCATCTACCTGGACTTCTGCAAGGCCTTTGACATGGTCCCACATGACATCCTGGTCTCCAAATTGGAGAGAGATGGTTTTCATGCGTGGACCATTCAGTGGATAAGGAGTTAGATTGAAGGTTTCCCCCAGAGAGCAGTGGTCAAGGGCTCTATGTCTCTGTGGAGGCTGGTGATGAGTGGTGTACCTCAGGGGACTGGCCTGAGACAGGTACTGTTGAATATCTTTATCAATGACAGAGACAGTGAGATTGAGTGCACCCTCAGCAAGTTTGCAGATGACACCAAACTGAGTGGTGTGGTTGATACAACAGAAGGGAGGGATGCCATCCAGAGGGACCGGGACAAGCTTGAGAATTAAGCCCACTTGAACCTAATGAGGTTCAAAAAGTCCAACTGCAAGGTGCTGCACCTGAGTCAGGGCAATCCCAGACATGAGTACAGAATGGGAGAGTAATTCATTGAGAGCAGCCCTGCAGAGAAGAACTTAGGAGTTCTGGTGGACAAAAGCTTGACATGAGCCAGCAGTGCATGTTTGCAGCCCAGAAGGCCAGCTGTATCCTAGGCTGCACCAAAAGAGGAATGACAAGCAGGTGGACGGAGGTGATTGTCCCCCTCCGTCTGCCCTTGTGAGGTCCCACTTGGAGTACTGCATCCAGGTCTGGAGCCCCCAGATTCTACAAGAAGGATGTAGACCTGTTAGAGCGGGTCTAGAGGAGGGCGACAATGATGATCAAGGGGCTTGACCACCTCTCCTACGAAGGAAGGCTGAGAGAGCTGGGGCTGTTCAGGCTGTAGAAGAGAAGGCTCTGGGGTGTCCTCATTGCAACATTTCAGTACTCAGAAAAGATGGAGAGCAACTCTCTTCTCAATGAGATAGTGACAGGATGAGGGGAGATGGTTTCAAACTAACAGGGGAGATTTAGATTAGAATTTAAATTCTAATTCTAATAGGAAATTCTGCACTCAGAGGGTGGTGAGGCACTGGAACTGGTTACCCAGTGCGCTTTTGGATGCCCCATCCCTGGAGGTGTTCAAGACCAGGTTAGATGAGGCCCCTGAGCAACCTATCTAGTGGGTGGCACCCTTGTTTATGGCAGTGGGGTTGGAACTAGATGATCTTTGAAGTTCCTTCCAACCCAAGCCGTTCTTTGATTCTGTGATTCAATGTGAGGCTCATAGTGTTGAGATAACCACAGGTCTGACCACATCACATTAATATTATTATAAGCCTTAGATCAGTTTAACAGTTGCTAATCACAGTGTTCAATTCTTTGATCTCAGGTCTGATGTGCCTGTCTTCAAAATTGTGTTATATAGCACATTACTGTATGTGTTCCCTGTTGTACTGTTTATCCTTTCTAGGGGCTGGTTTAAGGTTATTATTTTGCTGTACAGTGTAAGACTGGCTTATGATACAATAAAATTACTGGTCATGAGACTAATTTGGCATTTGTACTCAGTATTGATGTCACCTTCATACTTAAAGAAAGTATATATCAGAAACTATTAATAATTCCACTTTTTAACTTTTCTCCTCAGGGAGGGATAAGTGGAAATACTTTTCCCCACTTCTTCACTCTCCCTTTCTCCTTCACCTCCCCCTTCTCTTCCACGCCAGGTATGATAGCTCTTCTAAATTAGAATATCTTGGGATGTTCAAACCAGCATGTTTCCTATTGTTATGTCTCCTGAATGTGTTTCAGGATTTGTTTGAGGTTAAATTACTACTTAGGAATGCCATCCACAGACCTCTCCTGAGGCAGGATAGTTAGGAGTGGCAGGGAGTGTGGGAGGGTATGGGCAGGCACCTCCAGCAGAGGGCACCTCCAATGCTTGGCACTTCACCCCTGAACAAGTGCAGAATCCTAAAAACTGCTATAATGTTTGAAAAGGTGTGTCATAATCTGGGCAATTCCAAAGAGACACAAATCACTGCAAGATGCAAGGTCTTGGCCTATGCAAAGTCTTTTAAGTTTAAAACTGTTGAAACTACCTGTTGGAAACCTTTAACTTCTCTTTTGAAGAATTCATAATGAATAAATGAGTAAAAGGGATTGAATTATACAGAATTAGTGTGTTTCCAGAGAACACTCCCTGGAAGAGGGAGAATGGGGGGGGAGGGGGGAGAAGGGAGGGAAGGGGTCTTTAATCCACACCAGAAGAATCCTTATTAGTTTGTGATTTTTATTGTCCTTAACTATTATTTCATAATTATTGAAGGGGTATATATAAATTGCAAGCTTACCTGTATTTAAATATTTTTTCCTTTATTCAATAACAGTTATCCCTTATAAATTTTCGAAATAAATCCCTGTTGTGGGATTTTATGGTTGTGCAAGCAGACAACCGGCAATGTTGCCACCCAGATTCACCATCAGAATTCACAATCAGAATGTTGCAGGAAGGCATTGTGCCACTCTAATCAGTGATTGTGCAGACTCCGCTTGAGTATCACGTATGGGTTTGGGCACCACAATCTAAGAAGGACTCAAACCTATTAGAGAATGTCCGAAGGATGGCTATGCAGATGAAGAAGGGTGCAAAGGGCAAGATGTATGAGGACCTGTTGAAGTCACTTGGTTTGTTCAGCCTAGAACAGAGGAGGCTGAGGGGAGACCTCATCATAGCCTCCGGTTTCCACCCAAAAGAGAAGAGGTTTCCACTCTCTTCCTTCCTTCCTTCCTTCCTTCCTTCCTTCCTTCCTTCCTTCCTTCCTTCCTTCCTTCCTTCCTTCTTCTTCCTTCCTTCCTTTCCTTCCTTCCTTCCTTCCTCCTTCTTTCCTCTTTCTTCTTCTTCTTTCTTTCTTTTTCTTTCTTTCTTTCTTTCTTTCTTTCTTTCTTCTTTCTTTCTTTCTTTCTTTCTTCTTTCTTTCTTTCTTTCTTTCTTTCTTTCTTTCTCTCTCTCTCTCTCTCTCTCTCTCTCTCTTTCTCTTTCTCTCTTCTTTCTTCTCTCTCTCTCTCTCTCTCTTTCTTTCTTCCTCTCTCTCTTTCTCTCTTTCTTTCTCTCTTTCTTTCTCTCTCTCTTCTTTTCTTCCTTCCTTGTTTCCTTCTTTCTTTCATTCATTGTTTCCTTCTTTCCATCCTTGTTTCCTTCTTACATTGTTTCCTTGTTTTCTCCCTTCCTTTGTTCCTTCTTCCTATGTTTCTGCAAAGACCTTACACTTCTCAGAGAAAATCATTGTGGTTTCTTCTCGTTGTTGTTTTTTGGTACGTTGGTTTTTCAATTGCCAGGGCCACGTGGATTCCTGGCTTATCGTCTCTTTTAACAGTTTTTCCTCTTTGTTGCTGTGTAACCTGAGCCCCTGAAGCAGACTCTGGACTCACCATTACCGACAACAACCTGCCTGCTCACACCATGTGCCCCAAAATAGCCTGGCCTGAGCTGGTGACATCCACAACATGACGGTGCTGAGACTAGCCCATTGCAGCACCTGCTAGCCTCCATGCAGGCAGACAGGTCCTCTGGCTCCCAAAGGGTTGGCCCAGTTCCAGGAGCAATTTCAGGGACAGAGTCCAAAAGTACACTCTTATTCACAAAATTTATTATGTGAATAATAAATTATTAAGACCTATCACTAGGTCTTAGCACGAGATATTTATATCCTCTGCACTGATTGTTTGGAGATACACAGGTATTTATTTTGTGTGTTTTCAGAAATGCAAACATGCATATAAGATTACAGGTAATCAAATAAATTTATACAACTATACAAAATAGTTTGCCTGTGTAGAAAACCACTCTCTATATATACAGACATTTGTATTTATTTCTGGATACACATACACGTTTCCATACAAGCATAGACTGCATGCATCGTAGATAGCTATATTCACATATAGCGGATCCTGGCTGAAAGGCAGCGGGCCACCAATCAGCGGGCGAGCGCAGGGCACGTGGCTCGAACAGCACGCAGCCAATCAGAGAGGCACGGTGAGAAGAGCGCTCCCCCCTCGCCATAAAATGTCGGCCCCCAGTGTGTTGCACGGGGAGGGATTTCTTGTTCCCATGGCCACTGCAGAAGCTAGACACAGAGGCCGGTTTGGGCTGCCAGTCACAAGAGAAGGCGTACTTGGCAGGAGGCGGGGGCGTTCTGCCTGCTGGAGGGTAGGACTGGTGGGAGGTTCTTGGAAGCCTGGGAGCGGTGACAGGGGCCGCTGATAGTCTGCGGCAAGAGGTGTCTCAGGAAGCCGCCCAACCTTCCGGCTGAGCCAAGTCGTCCACAGTGGTTTCCCGGCGGTCAGGGTGGTTTATGTCATGTGAGTTTCAAGAGGAGCTTGAGGAATGTCTCTTGTAAGGCAAAGGCAAGGCTGCCAAATGCCCCGTCTGGGGAGCATGTCCACGGCTTGCTGCAGCATAAGAATGCTTATCTCTCAAAGGATTCCTTGGTTCCAAGCGGCGTTGCTCCTTTGTGGCCGGTGGCAAGGAGGACAGTGCTGGGAGCTCGAGGCAGTGCCTTCGGCAGCTGTGCTCTTCAAAGCCAGTGGCGCTTCTGGTCCTTGGCAAAAGGAGCTGCACTTCCTTCTCCCAGAAGTGGTGTTGCAGAAGTTTGGCAGTGCAAGTGAGGACTTTTTCCTGCAAATGCAAGGCAATCTTGGCAGCAGCAGCTGAAATTGTTTCTCTGAGTCGGTTCAGCCTCGGCTGCTCTCAGCACTGGGAAAAGAGCACCAGCACTGCACAGCAAGAGAGGTTTCCACTCTGTCTCTTTCTCTCTCTTTCTTTGTTTCTTTCTCTCTCTCTCTCTTTCCTTGTTTCTTTCTCTCTCTCTCTCTCTCTTTCTTTCTCTCTCTCTCTCTCTCTTTCTCTCTTTCTTTCCTTCCTTGTTTCCTTGTCTCTTTCCTTCCCTGTTTCCTTCTTACATTGTTTCCTTGTTTTCTCCCTTCCTTTGTTCCTTCTTCCTATGTTTCTACAAAGACCTTACACTTCTCAGAGAAAATCATTGTGGTTTCTTCTTCTTGTTGTTTTTTGGTACGTTGGTTTTTCAATTGCCAGGGCCACGTGGATTCCTGGCTTATCGTCTCTTTTAACAGTTTTTCCTCTTTGTTGCTGTGTAACCTGAGCCCCTGAAGCAGACTCTGGACTCACCATTACCGACAACAACCTGCCTGCTCACACCATGTGCCCCAAAATAGCCTGGCCTGAGCTGGTGACATCCACAACATGACGGTGCTGAGACTAGCCCATTGCAGCACCTGCTAGCCTCCATGCAGGCAGACAGGTCCTCTGGCTCCCAAAGGGTTGGCCCAGTTCCAGGAGCAATTTCAGGGACAGAGTCCAAAAGTCCACTCTTATTCACAAAATGTATTATGTCCCTTATGCTCTATTATTTAGCATAATAAAGTTTGATTTCATAGGTCAAAAAACAGTATGAAGAAATGAAACTGGTATATGTTTGTCTCAACTGAGTAAGCAAAGGATACACTCATAAGCTGTAGCTTTTGGAAGCTAGTCTAAAGAAGCAAAGTAACAAAAAATGCCAAAGTAACAAAAACTGGCCAAGATGCCAGGTCTTGGCCTATGCCTCCAAAACCGCAATCAATACCACTACAACCCTTTGACAGCCATGGTCTAAAGCCATTCCAGTCCCAGTGAAAGGCCCCACTGCCAGGCCAGGCATCCAACAGTGACAGCATCTGTTGCTCCTATATGCAAGATGAAACAATGGATGAGAAGTCAGGTCATTTAGAAAGCAGAGGAACTCCTACTAAGAAAGGGGAGAAGAGCGCAAGGCAGGCTACTCTGAAGTGGCTGGCCCATCAGACAAGCAGGAAGATGAAGATATGAAGGCATTAATGACTCCTGAAGCATCGCCTGGTGCACCTCTGTACTGACATTGGTGTCTGCAGGGAGGTTTCCCACTCTTTGCTCTCCCAGCTGCTGTTGTGCAGCAGTTTTTTCTAGTTTTTTTCCCTTTTTTTGGATGTGCTCTCACAGAGGAACAAACTGCATTGCTCATGGTTTGCCTCTGGGCAGCAGTGGACCCCTTTGGAAGCGGCTGACACTGGCCCTTATTCTCACAGTGGCTACCACTGTAGCCCCTCTACTACCAGAATCTTGCCACATAAACCCAATACACTGGGGCAGCTAGCCTGTAGAGTACCAGGGCTTGAATTAACTAATGAAACCCTAAATATAATGGGGTGTAGAGGGGGCTGGGATAACAGTACTACTCTTGGGTGACACCAAGCTGAGTCTAGGGACAGAATGCTCACTGGGCAATTATTGTATGTACCCGAGGCAGGGACTATATTGTTGGGAAAGGATTTGATAATGAAAGTGGGCATTCAAATAGTGACTTGTTAGACTGGAATAACGGTGTTATTAATGGGTTGCCTTTGAGAGGAAAGACCCTGAAATGGGGCAGAAGCAACAATACAGATGGACAATTTTATCTCATGGATTTACAGGGCCACTGAATTTATTTGGGCAAGTTCTAGAACAAATTTTGGAGTAATTCCAGCCTCCTGAGGAGGTGTTACTCTTACAATATGTGGATGATTTTTTATTGTCAGAACAGAAGAAAACAGCTGTGAAAGAAGCTACTAACAAACTATTCAACTTTATGGGAAAACAGGGCTTGAAAGTATTGGAAAATAAATTGCAATACGTGGAATGAAAGTCAAGTATTTAGGGCATCTAGTGTTTGAGTGAGAACATAGAATAAATCCAGAGAGGATTCTGGAATTGTTGAGCTACCCCTACCGAAAGCTAAAAGAATGAAAAAGTATGAAGAGAAAGAAGTTTTTAAGGAATTAAGAGTCACGAAGTCCAATGGAAAACAGTTACTCCCTGGTGAGAGAAATGCTGAATAAAGTGATAGCGAGGCAAATATTAACTGTTTTGCATCAGTAAGGTCATTGGGAAATTCAAGCAATGCGTGATGCTGTGCTATGGAAATATGTATGTGTAGGATTATATGTACTCTGGCTGAACAAGTATGCAGGAGCTGTGTAGTATGTCAAAAGCTAAATAGGAAAATTATTCACAGTCAGCCCAAATGGGGGTGAGAACCAGGAATTCAATGCTTCCAAAAGGTGTAGGTAGATTTTACAGAACTCGTAAGAGTAGGCAGATTTAAATACTTATTAGTCTTGGTTGATCATTTGTCAGGGTTATTGGAAGCTTTCCCTTCAGTATCTGCTACTGCGAACATAGTAACTAAAGTAATTCTAGAACAAATAATTCCCAGGTATGGAATTATTGAGAATACTGCCTTTGATCAAGGAAATCACTTTATATCAGAAATATTGCAAGGGCTAACGTGGACTCTAGGAATTAAGTGGAAATTTCACACTCCTTGGCATTCTTCCTCTTCTGGAAGGATGGAGCAGATCAGACAGTAAAGAAGCAATTGACTAAACTCTGGAAACTCAGCTTCCCCAAACAAAGTGCTTACCTTTGGCACCTCTCTGAATTCAAACTGCACCAAGAAAAGATGTGGGAATTTCACCACATGAAATATTATTTGGATTGCTGTACCTGGACAAAGGGAATGAATTACCTCAATTTGAGACAAAAGATGCTTTTCTTAAGAGCTATATACTTGGGCTGTTGTCCTCTTTATCATCTCTCAGGACCTACAGACTGTTAGCTCAAACTCCACCCTTGGAAGCCCTGATCCATCTAATCCAAGCAGATTGGAACATGGAGAGAATGAAAGCTGCAACCTGAGTGGGATGGACTGTTCCAAGTGCTCCTGAGTACTGAGATGGCAGGAAGAACAGCTGAGAAAGGGAGGACTCACACCTGGGTAAAAGCATCAGTTAACCCCGATACCTGAGACACTGTGTTAACAAAGACTTTTAAGGTTAAAACTGTCAAAACTATTTATTGTAAACCTTTAACTTCTCCTTAGAAGAATTCATAATGAATTAATGAGTAAAATGGATTGAATTACAGAGAATTAGAGTGATTTCAGGAAACACTCCCTGGAAGAGGGAGAAAAAGAAGCAGAGGGGTGGGGGATGGAAATAGATAAGGAAAAACAGGATGAGCAGTACAAAATCAGTAAGAACAAAAATCACAGGCCCTCCAGTCATGAGAGAAGAAGGGAAAAAAAAAAAAAAAAAAAAAAAAAGGAAAAAGAGGAATCAATGGTTGATCAAATTAATCTGATTAAACTGTACATATATGGTATAAAAGTGTGTTGAGTAGGTTGTGAACCTGTAGTACTCAGCCAATGAGGAAACAAGGGAGAAATCAGGTGTCAGGTAATAGGGAGTATAGTGTTATGATAAACTTTTACTGTGCACTCCTGCTTGTGGGACACCTGCCATTGCAATCACGAATAAAATAGTTTCACAGAAGATCCTGTCTGAAGAAAATTATTGAGATTTTTTTTCTCACACAATGGTAATGGTAAACATTATCAAATGTTTATCAAATTAACAAATCTCTCTGTCCTGAATCTAAGACTAATGGTTTGTTTAAAGGACCCCCTTGCCCAGGATGGAGTAACGTATGGTGGACAACCACTTGTAAAGTGTGAACGTATACACCCAGTCCAAGTGATACCTTAAAGTGGTTAAAGAGCCAAATTAGCATATTTAAAGGAACTGTTCAGTCCAACTGTCAGCTTCTATAATGTAATCTCATAATTATAACAATTAATAAGGCTGATGACCATATTAACCATACTTTTGGTTTCAGAGCAAATGTGACAGGGAAAGGTCCAGCAGACAGATTTAGGATAGCTATGTGGGAACCGTCTTCCAATGTCACTAAAAACAGGGATAGGCTTGAGAAGGAAGCAGGAGGTCCTCTTCAAAATCTAGCAGTTGTCACAGTTAAGGAAATAAAAGATCTGAGGCAAACATTTGAAATTGAAATGGGTTATGGGGATGTGAATGCCTGGTCAGATATACAGTCCAGAGTCTCAACCACAGCAATTGCTGTGCTTGTGCCTCAGGGTGACTGATTGCGCAGATAGTGCCCTTCCAATTGGGGTGGAGCAAGGATTCCCAGGGGATGCAATGTATGATTGCATTGTACCAAGAAAAGACTGCCTGGGGAAACGAGGCCTGTAAGTCTCTCTGTTATTCCCCTCGTTGCATGTCAGAGATACCAGGATTCCCCCTGTATTCTCCACAGCCGTAGGTAACCATATAGCTTGCTTCTCACTGCACGGCGTGAATGCTACCCGCCATCTGTGAGAATTTGTGTTGTGCACTGGGACCCTGAAATTTACCAAGGACTTGATAGGAAACTACTCAAGACTTGAGATCCCCAGGGCAGATTTCTGGTGGTACTCTGTGGAGGGAAGATCTTATGGTCCACCCTACTATCTAACTGGGTAGGCATCAGTGCACTTGTTCAGTTAGCTATACCTTTCAGTCTGGCATTTGAAAGAGCACCATCACATGTATCCAGAAGAAGTAGAAGAAGTTTAGGAATGCCATTTGATGAAGGAGTATACATAGATTCATAGAACTCCTAGAGGAGTTCCCAATGAACACAAAGCTGGAAATCAAATTGCTGCAGGTCTGAGTCATCACTGTTCTGGTGGGTAATAATCAACAAAAAATGGGTTGGATCAATTACATTTATTGAAATCAAGAGATTCATAAGTTACACAAGGGATGCAATAAGAGGAATTGCTGAACAACTAGATGCCACCAGTGGAATGGCTTGGGAAACCAGAATAGGATTAGATATGATGCTCACACAGAAGGCAGATGTGTGTGTAACACTGGGCAACCGTTGTTGCACGTCTATCCCCAACAACACTGTCCCAGATGACACAGTAGCTAGAGCATTGCAAGGCTTACCATCCTTGCTGATGAATTTTCAGAAAGCTCAGGGACACTTCCATCACAGGATGGTTGGAACCTTGGTTTGGTAAATGGAAAGTGATGGTAATGTCCATATTTACATCCTTGATCATAGTAGCAGGAGTTTTGACACCCATTGGTTGTTACATTATCTCCTGTGTGAGATAACTGGTCCAGCAGTTAATTGAAAGAGCACTACTGAAACAAACGACCATGGAGCCACCACCTTACTCAAATAAGATGATATTAGAGGAGATAGAAAGCGAAGGAAGGGAAGAAGAGGAAGATATCTACCAAATTACACCTTAGAGAGAGTTTTGCAAAAATCAACAAATTATAAAAGAAAGGAAGGGGAGAACTGTGAGAACAAAAATGTTGTTTTACACAGAATCACAGAATTATTAAGGTTGGAAGAGACCTGCAAGATCATCCAGTCCAACCATCACTCTACTACCAATGTCACCCACTATATCACGTCCCTAAGCAACACACCCAACCTTTCCTTGAACACCCCCAGGGACGGTGACTCCACCACCTTTCCGGGTAACCTGTTCCAATGACTGACTGCTCTTTCTGAGAAGAAAAGTCTCCTAATTTCCAACCTGAACCTCCCCTGGAACAACTCGAGGCCATTCCCTCTAGTCCTATCACTAGTTACCTGTGAGAAGAGGCTGACGCCCAGCTCCCCACACTTTCCTGTCAAGTAGTTGCAGAGAACAATAAGGTCTCCCCTGAGCCTCCTCTTCTCCAGACTAAAACTTAAAACCTCATTCATCATGTGTAGGAGGCTGAAGTACACAAGCTCCAGAGATAGCCCTAAAATTGTCATTTTCCAGCTTTTCACTACGGTACAGAGGGAACATGGCAGTAGTTTGGCTAATCAGAGCTGCCCACAGAACACCGCAGGATTCAGCAGGATTTCTGAAAGGGAACATCAGGAGTCACAAAGGCAGAGCTATTCGTGAGATTGTCTTTGCCCAAGGACCTGGGTGCACTTTTTAGGTGATGTGAAAGGGTGGAGATATCAGGTACGTGCCTCAAGGACATTTAATCTTGGGAAGAATATAGTCTGTAATCTGAATTATGTGTTGCAGGAAGACACTGCAGAACCAATGACAGGTCATCTTTGCAAGGAACAAGGAAAGGTCAACAATGACTCAATCTAAGCTGATGCTGGCATCCATCCTGTTTCTCCTGTTCTGAGTGACCACCTTGGCAGAATGAGGCCAAAGTCCTTGCCGCTTCTTATGGACTTTTGGGGAGAGGCTTATAGGATGGGGAAAATATATCTGTTAAGGACAGGGAATAGTGGTGATGTGAATGTACGTATCTGTGTGTTGGATGGAACAATGATCAGATCATACAAATGTACTAGAGTATGTGGAATCTGAATATGACACAAATAGCACGGTGTAAAGGGTGGAGGTTATGCTGCATCTGGCTGGGATGGAGTTTACTTTCCCAACAGCAGCCCATACAGTGCTGTGCTCTGCACTTGTAGCTAGAACAGCACTGGTATCACACCAGTGTTGTGTCTATTGCTGAGCAGTGCTGGCACAGCATCAGGATTCTCCCCAGCTGGACAAAGCCAGCAGGCTGG